GCAGCAGGAAACTTGCGCCAATGTGCCTCGCAATGACTCGGTGCTTGAGTGAATTAGCTTCCAATGTCCTCTTCTTTGATGCAATCATTTCTGTGTTGCGAGTACGCGTGAGAGCTCGGCACCCAAAATGGCTGCCAAGGTCTCGCGTGAAAAACAGGATGTGATTCGAGAAATCCAGGGAGTAGAAGGCTACTGATAGCTACTAGCCACGATGGCCATGCTCTGATTCCATGGGAGGGGAGAGTCCTGCTTGTGAGTTTCCCTCACCAGCGTGGTGTAGTGGTTAAGAGTGGTGGACTCGTAATCTGGTGAACCAGGTTCGCGTCTCCGCTCCTCCACATGCAGCTGCTGGGTGACCTTGGGCCAGTCACACTTCTCTGAAGTCTCTCAGCCTCACTCACCTCACAGAGTGTTGGTTGTGGGGGAGGAAGGGAAAGGAGAATGTTAGCCGCTTTGAGACTCCTTAAAGGGAGTGAAAGGCGGGATATCAAATCCAAACTCCTCCTCCTCCTCTTCTTCTTCTTCTTCTTCTTCTTCTTCTTCTTCTTCTTCTTCCAGGCGACCTGCTCACTGAGCATTCATCCTGAGGTGCCCTCCACACACATTTTTCAGTTGTCAGGGACCGTGCTGAAGAGGGCTGCACTGAGGAAGAATAGTGGGAGTCATTGACCGTACACTCATATACAGCCCACGTCTTCAGTGCCTGCATGGACTGGGTGTTGGGAGCACCTTCTTTGACCTTCCAATCACAGGAACACAGGAACAACAGCGCAGCATCCCCCTGGAACAGGTCCTGGTGCAGTGGACTCACATTTGCTATTGTGAGCACCTCAAAAGCAGCAGAGAAACGGAAACAAAACTGTGGAGGTTTCGTTGCATACCTAATTTTATTTCTACTGATTAAACGAATAAAAGAACATAACAAACATGTACGAGAGATTCAGCTCTCTCATACTGCCATCTAGTCTCTAGACAGATCAAAGAAAACAGGGTACAATGCTAGGGACGGAAGTCTAGAAGAGTGGTTTCCACCCCCTCCTTTCTCTGAGACAGAAAGTAAAACAAACATGATCTGGTGATCTTTGCAATGGGAGGGATGAAAATACTGACAGTCATCCCCTTCCCCTGATCCTGAATCTTCCCAGGAGCAGGAGGACAGCACAAATTTGGAACAGTGGTTTGCAGAGGGGCACAGCTCAGAAGGCAGAAGCTGGGAAATACTGGATGGGGAACAGCTAGCAAAAGAAACACTAGAAGAGATAGAGAGTTAATAGATTCTTCACAGTCTCTGGATAGCATCCACCCCTCCTTCTCCAAAGTCACGGAGAGCTCAGAAAGTGTCAGAACAGAAAGCACAGAGGGTACAAGATCAGATTACAAGAGGTAGAAGTGACGTAGATTAATAGGGATGGTGGGGAGAGTATCCCTTAATTGGGAGCACCGCCATTTCTAGGAGATGTGTTCTTTCTTCTCTCGCTGTGATTATTAAAGATTCTAACTGGTAAGCCGTTCCTTTCATTTGATCTTCCTATCTACTGCCACGGAGGGGTGGAGGCCGATTCTCCAAAGCCTGACACCAGTAAAGGTAAAAGGTAAAGGTAAAGGAACCCTGGACGGTTAAGTCCAGTCAAAGGCAACTATGGGGTTGCGGCGCTCATCTCGCTTTCAGGCTGAGGGAGCTGGCATTTGTCCACAGACAGCTTTCTGGGTCATGTGGCCAGCATGACTAAGCCGCTTCTGGTGCAACGGAACACCGTGATGGAAACCAGAGCACACAGAAAAGCCGTTTACCTTCCCGCCACAGCGGTGCCTATTTATCTACTTGCACTGGTGTGCTTTCAAACTGCTAGTGTAGCACGTGAAAGTAAAGTAGATACCCACTTAGAGTGAACAAGGATCAGGCAGACACAGCTTTTTGGAGAAAGAGAAGGTGAGGTTTTATTGCTGAACAATAAGGACCCAGTTGGAATCTTTTCCAAAAGGACTGGGACCCCGAGAAACACAAATCCTGAGGTCTTTATACCTGAGCAAATCACAGATCATGAGACAGTCACGAACGCCAGCGAAAATTAGCCAATTAGCGTGCTTCTTGCCATGCTCCCAGCTCCTGGTCAAGCGCAGAGTTCTACTCCCAACTTCTGCTTTCCGTTGTCTGCACAAATGATGCACAATGATGCACAATCTGACCTTTTCCCTAGTTCTGACAGAACAGGGAGTTTTGGAGTTTTTGTGGTTTGGCCCTTCCTGTTCTGTGGACTATTTTAGCCTGCATTTGAGGGGGATTTTATACCAGTGTCTCTGATTCATGTATTCCCCTTTGTTCAGGGTACAAGGATGTTTCTAGGGGAAAAGTCGGTTCTAAAGTTGCTGTTCCAAGCAGTTTGCAGTTAGCTAAGGCAAAAGCTTTCCTTTGATTCAAAATGGATTATAAAAATACTGTAAGCCCTGATTATGTGTGAGCATATATGAATATATTGATTACTGATAACTGATTATATGAATAGCATAAGGGTAGCCCTTCTTTCCTTGCCTCACTAGGTTGGCAGGAGCTGGGACAGAGCAACGGGAGTTCACTCCATTGCAGGGATTCGAACCACCAACCTTCTGATTAGACCACAGCACCACCCGCTTCCCCATTTCCCAGTAACCTCACAGGAGTCCCTGCGATTGCCACACCACTCATTCGCCTCATTTTCCTTCTTTTATTCCAAGTTCCTCTTTTGTAAATTTTCAGCCACTGTACCTACATGAAAGGGTCATGTCTCCGCTGGAGAAGCGCTGCGGCTCACTGGTAGACCATCTGCTTTGCATTCAGAAGGTCCAATATTCAATACCTGGCATCTCCAGGTAGGGCTGGGAGGGACTCTGATCCAAAAACCCCTGGAGATCCCCTGCAGGTCATTGTAATTGACGTGGGAAAAAGCCCACCCGAGGTTCGGGCATGGCCAAGTCACTTCGTGCCAGCAATGGCAAGACACAGCCAGGAAGCACTTCAAACAGACCAATTCAGATTTTGTTTCTACAGCAGCAGAATGGTAACAGCTTGTCAGGCAAAACAGGAAAGCTTGTTCAGAGCTGCACCCCAAATTGGATTGTTGCAGACCCTTTTATACATGCAAGTAAACAAGAAAATTTTTCCTATAGTCTATCTGTTAACACGCCGCCGCCTTAGCTAACCACTAAGAACATCCCCCCACTAACCACATCCTATAGAAATCTTTTGCAGCAACAATAAATGCAGAACCAGCAAGTTCTTGTTTTCAGCACATGACTTTAAGCTGTGTCACTGGAGTCAGATGCTGAAGTTTTTATTTAAGGCAACGAACATACACTTAGCAACAGTGTCACATAAAGAGTCACTTCTCTTTTTTGGTCATTGTCTGCAATGACTTAGTTGGATCGGAGACGAGTGGATAAAAACCCAGCCCTCCGCACACTGCAAAAGCAGTGCTACTTTGCCAAACAACCTCTCCTATTGTGCCTACTAGCTATTTTCCTCCTGTTTATAAAGACAAGTTGGATCCTTGTTCGTTTAAGCTTAAGCAGAGAAAAGTAGTTATGGATGCACCACAGAACATTAAGCAGTAATTTGGAGGGCAGGGGGACAAGAGACAAAATTAGCTCGTGCAACGGCATCCTTTAAGAGAGGTTAAGCTGGCTGACTTCACCGAGACTGTTGGTGCATAGCGACGGAGCACTTTCTCTTCTGCATAAAAAGATCATCACCATCATTGCCGTAAGCATTTAAACTGTCCTTTCTCAGTGCAGAACACTTTGCATGCACGGTTAAAGTAATAAGAAAAGAAGAAGAACCCTGCTGGATCAGACCAAAGACCCCATCGAGTCCAGAATCCTGTTCTCAGCTTGGACCACCAGAGTACCATATGAAGCCCACAAGAGGACCTCAGTACAGCAGAAAAAGGTAAAGGTAAAGCAGAACCCTCCCCACTTGTGAACCCTAGCAACCTCCAGATTGGTGATTTTCTGCAAGTTTGTTCTGCAGTATATATATAGTACACAAAGGGATGCGAGTGGCGCTGTGGTCTAAACCACTGAGCCTCTTGGACTTGTTGATCGGAAGGACAGCCGTTCAAATCTGCGCGATGGGGTGAGCTCCCGTTGCTCTGTCCCAGCTCCTACCAATCTAGCAGTTTGAAAGCATGCCAGTGCAAGTAGATAAATAGGTACCACTGCAGCTGGAAGGTAAACGGTGTTTCCGTGCAGTTTGGTCATGCTGGGCATATGACCCAGAAAGCTTTCTGTGGACAAACGCCGGCTCCCTTGGCCTGAAAGCGAGATGAGCGCCGCAACACCATAGTCGCCTTTGCCTGGACTTAACGGTCCAGGGGGTCCTTTACCTTTTATATATTTATAGTACATTAGTGGTAGATTTTACTGGATTGTCCACACATCATTCTGCTTTATTTCTGTAACTATCCAATCACTGAACGCCACTTTCAATTCCTTATTTGCATATGCGGACCTGAGTGAAAACTATCTACACCCTGCTGGCCCAGGGTGAGAACTTCAGTACATAACAAAAACCTTTTGAGATTTTGCAAAGCTCAACAATTTCTGTGTCCGGATTTTCACTTTTTGAAATATGGCAACCCGAGTAACGAAATTGTTTCATTTTTCTTGTAGTCAGCAGTAACACAAGCTTAAGAGAGAAACAAAGAAGAAAAAGCGCCCCAGATAGAAAACTCTTTCGCAGGAATGCCAGTGGATGGAATAGTGTCAAGAGTACATTGTACTCAGTAGGGCTGACTTCTGAGTAGATACACATCAGATTTCCGGGTCAGGCTGTGCTTTAAAAATTCACTGTAACATTGTAGCCTGCTGTGGTTTGTACAAGCTAGAATCCAAGGTCAGCTTCTTATATTTACACAACAGAGAAAGGCAGCAGTAAAACCTGGAGAGGGATATTAATGGCAAAATCATAAGTCATAGATCATAAATTGTGGTTCCTTTCAGGAATTCTGATTTAGTCTGAAATTGCTTCTTCAAGGACCTATACCTTTGCTTGGACACAGGTAAAAGCGTTTTAATAAATTTTAAAAAATCAGCAAGCATTTGCCACTCGTTTAGGGGATGAAGCTCTGTTTCTATGCCCCTGCTGTGATAAGTTATTAAAAAGCAAAAGTTAATAAATCTCTGAACTTGTTTACTATCCTCTGTGAACCAAGTAGATAAACTGCTTGCTTTTATTAGAGTGGCAGGTTATAAACTTGAGGACAAGGCTGAAAGTTTCAGGTCAAAATCCTGTGTACACTTATCTAAGAGTTAGCAGGAAGTGGGACTCACTTCTGAGTAAAACGCACATACGGTAGGATTGGTGCCGTAGATTTCAACTCCTACTTATTTACTTCATTACTTCTTTTTAGAGACAGTAAATTGGAATGATCAGGTAACAGAAAAGCAGAAAACAGAACATATATAGTGAATTGTTGCGATGGCTGCAAAGTTAATTTAGAACCAGAGGGTTGCAAAAAAAAGGGGGCAGAAGGTTGCAACAGATTATTATGCTAAATGGGATGTGTTTAATCTGTGTATGAGAGAGCAGGTCGCTTTGTTGGAAATGTCAAGAGGCGTAATTAAGATGTCAGGACAAGGTCTAAAACGGGCATGGAAATGTGCAGCTCCGTTTTAAAAGTTTTGTTTTCATGAAAGAGAGCCGGCGGTGGTGGAGTGCTTAAAGAGTGTCAGACTAAGACCTGGGAGGGACCAGGGTTTGAATCCCCCACTTAGCTATGATGCTCACTGCATACCCTACAGCATTTCTCCAATTAAAATAGGGACGTCCTAAGGGAAAGTGGGACATTCTAGGATCAAATAAGAAACCTGGAAAGCTTCTGTAAATCCAGGACTCTCCCCGGAAAATAGGGATACTAGGGAGGATATTATTGTTATTTATTCTGACTACCTCACAGGGTTGTCAGGGGAATGAAATGAGGAGGGCGAAAACCACATAAGCCACTTTGAGCTCCTTGGTGGAACAGGTGAGATACAAATGCAAGAAATAAATAGAAGCTCTTTCACTTTTAGCTTGAGAAAGATTTGTGGTGAACTTAAGCTTGTGCATACACACATACTTATTCCGGCTTTTGTTGTTGTTGTTTAGTCGTTTAGTCGTGTCCGACTCTTCGTGACCCCATGGACCAGAGCACGCCAGGCACCTCTGTCCTCCACTACTTCCCGCAGTTTGGTCAAACTCATGCTGGTAACCTCGAAAACACTATCCAACCATCTCGTCCTCTGTCGCCCCCTTCTCCTTGTGCCCTCCATCTTTCCCAGCATCAGTGTCTTCTCCAGGGAGTCTTCTCTTCTCATGAGGTGGCCAAAGTACTGGAGCCTCAGCTTCACGATCTGTCCTTCCAGTGAGCACTCAGGGCTGATTTCCTTAAGAATGGGTGTGTTTGATCTTCTTGCAGTCCATGGGACTCTTTCCGGCTTGGCATTTTTAAAAGGGTTAGATTAGAATCAACCTCCTGCAATGCAGGAATCAATAGGTCCTATGTGTTCAGTTGGACTTACAGCTGTGTAAGTTTGCAAAGGACTACAGCCTTGTTGTTTAAAAAGAAACGACTTAACTTGTTGCCATGCTTTTTTAAAAAAAATAAATGTATCATAAAATCAAGTAAGGAATGCAGAGAAGCCAGTGTGTTTATCAGCAAAACAAGAGTGCTCTTTATCTGCCAAATTGTGTCCCATTAATCTCCAGGCCCATTTCACACGTTCCAGGTCAGGAAATTAAATTGGCCCCAAAGGATTGACGTGACTTTAAGTCGGTTCGCTTGAATAAATCTTTGCTCCTCTCTACCCCCTGGGCAACTGTAGCCACTGCCGGCCCTCTGCTGTGGGCTTCTGCAATGCATACGTGTTCCCCACGTTCACACGTTACACGCGTATGAACAAGCCGAGGAAACCACGCGTCTCAGTCCCGCCCACCCCCGCCCCGAAGAAGATGCTGCTCTTTCTGGGCTGTCTCCCGCTCCAGATAAATTATAGCCTGCGCTCGCCGCTGATTGGCTAAGGCGCTTGAGCGAGGAGGAGGAGAAGGGCGTGGCAAGGCAGGATACGACCGCTCCTGATTGGCCGAGCGGACGTTCTCCCCAGGCAAGACGAGGCTCAGCAAATAGCCAACGCTTTTAGCGAGGCGAGGATAGGAGAAGGATTCCTCGGCTTCTGATTGGGCAGAGAGAATAATTGCTTGATGGTCTCCTTGCTTTAAGCGCCTGCGCGGTTTATTCCTCCGGTTGCTGCCGTTACCCCTCTTTTAGCGTCACACGTGCCTTAGAACGGTGGCGCCGTGAGCGTTCCAACGGCCTCCAACGGCAGACGCGGCGCGAGGCGAGAGAGAAAGAGAGCGCGGAGCCTCCGTTGAGCGCCTGCCGCGCCTGCGCAGACCGGTGAGTAAGTGGGGGAGGGGCGGTGTCTGTAGTTCTTTTGTTTATATCCCAACTTCTTTCGTCCAAGGAGCCCAAGGTGGCGTGCGTGGTTTCTTCTCCCTTATTCCCCGTGTTATGAACACTACAACCCTGTGAGGTAGGCTAGCCTGAGAGGGAGCGTCACACCCAGTGAGCTTGGTCGATAAATGAAATAATATGTAAGTTTGTTCTGGGTATAAGCTTTGTATAAGAACAAACTTAAGTTGGTCTCCAAGGTGCTACTGGACAGTTTTTTAATTTTTTTCGACTGTGTCAGACCAACACAGCTACCTAACTGAATCTGAAATAATGTGTGTGTATATATACATAAATATACATAATATACATATATACATAAACATATGCAAATATATTTTTAGGGAGGGAAAATACGCTTCAGGTGGTAATGGAAATAATTATCATTATTTATTACCCAACCCTTTACCATAAGATCCTGGTTACGTGTCTTAAGTATGCAATGTACTCAGGTTTTATTAGTATTTGCTGCTAATTATTGTCATTCACAATAATTGGCATAAGACTCTTAAATGTGTAATATGTAGATTGGGGCCAGGTGGGAAATGGTTGCTCCAGGAAGACGGGAATAAACCCCCCAAAATTGAAATAGACAATATTTTATATTTTTATTAATAGAATTTATATAACACCCTATACCCTGAGGCCTCAGGGCAGTTCACAGAACAAAATCAAAACATAAAACCACAGAATCTATAATCGAAATAAAAGCAACAACCCAGTGCCACCCCCCGTATTTAAGACCTTCATTTAGCTTCCGTGAATATACAGTTAGATATAAAAGGTTTAAAACTCGACAGATTGTGGATCCGTTCAGATAATGCGTAGGTAAATAGGTGGCGATGTTCCTGTGTCTACTGCATGCATTACGTTTAATGTTTGTTTATTGCAGGGGACTCTGCAATAAAACTGGCAGTGATCTGGGGGGTTCAGATCAAAGTCGTTGAGCTTTTTTAGGAAGGAAAGCCCCGTTTTTATGGGGCCCAGGACAGAGCTTCTTTGGTGGGAGCCAGGAATCTACTACAGGCATCCAGTGATCTACCTGTTGGACGTGCCTGGTTTATTCCATTTATATCCTACCTTTCCCCCCTCAAGGTGGCATGCACAGAGTTATGGGTGATCATATCACAACACTCATTGTTTGTAAATAGTATGGTATAGCCAGTCTATGCTTCCTTGCATGTACCGTTCACTTGGCCAGAACATGCACATTCCATTCCATTAGCTCTTTGATCAACACAGCTCGTTATTAGTTCATCACAGTGGCGTAGCGTGGGTTGTCAGCACCCGGGGCAAGGCAAGTAATTTGCGCCCCCTAACCCATGGATTTGCGCCCCCTAATCCGTGGATTTTCCCTAACCCCAGATGTTGCGCCCGGTGCGGCCGGCCCCCCCTGCACCCCCCACGCTACGCCACTGGTTCATCAACAGCATCCATTTTGTGGTGGCGGTCTTCAGCC